AAAAAAAAAAAAAAAAAAAAAAAAAAAAAAAAAAAAAAAAAAAAAAAAAAAAAAAAAAAAAACGCAAATTCACTTTTTGACGAAACCGAGGTAACATCACCACTTAGTAGCATTTGTTACACTTCATCCACATACTTAAAAGTAGCACAGTGCAACGAAAATATTGAAATTAAATTGCAATTTGATTTCAGTAAAATTGTAATTTTTTTTACCATTAAATTGCAATCGTTTTACACCAATTAGTCAATTTATGCCGATTTGAAACACTCAGAAAAATGAGCTCCATGTGTCAGAAAGATGTGTAATATGCAATGCAATGAAACATTGCAACTTATTTCAATTATTTTAAAGCGATGAGTTTCAATAAATGGGGCCCCTTCAAATAGGAGCTAGGCAACATACACAACACTCAGTGGAATGGCAATATTTTTACAATGTAATTGCTACTTACTGCAACCTGTGCTACTTGGTTACATAGGGAGAAGTGACCGGAAATGTCAATAATTTTAGGGACCTAGAAGGAAAAAGACCCTCCTCCCTCCATAATGGAATCAGTGAGTTCGAAAACACACCAACTCGGGAAAAAAAATTGTTCAGGAAACACCTAAAACTGCGCAGCGGGCGAAGAAGTTAGTTTGAAAAACCTTTTTGGTGCCGAAGGACAAGTACTCAGAGACTTTGTAAAGCACCAAGTTGAAATCGATACACCATATGTTTGATGACAGAAAATTAAGCGTTTAAAAATTTCCGAGTTGGTGTGTTTTCGTTCTCACCGACTTTCAGATACTGATTTTTCATAGTCTGCCCTGAAAAATGTATATTTTTCGACCTGAATAACGCTTGAATATTTATATAACTTGTTGGTACAAGGTATACTGAACCAAAAAAAGAAAACCGCAAAATCGGATGGTCACCTTGAAATGGCCAAAAATTGGTATTTCCAATGAAATACTTCGATTTTTCCCTTTCCCCGTCACTGTTTCGAGCACCTCTGATTGCAATTTCGAAATTTCCTTTTGCGTGCAGATGCTTCTATCCATAAGTGTTACTAAACCTTAAAAAATTGAAAATCGAAAAAAAGCCAAGTTGGTGTGCTTTCGAACTCACTGATTCTTTAAAACTGAATTTTTTAAAATTATTACTACAATACATTCGTTGTTAATATGTATATGACTGACCAATTTTTAACGTGTGCCCGCAAAGTTCTCAGTTGTTCCGCACAATTAACCTGGACGTGGCAACTGTTGAAACGCTGGAGGACTGGATGTTGGATCTTACCTGCCGTAGCCGTAGAGGTAGAGGACATGACTTGAAAACAGAAGGAGGATGGTCGACATGGCAAACAATGCGAGAGTAACGTGCGTGTTCAGAATGAAAGGGCTCTTGAGCCGCGAGCCCAGCCCCGCTCGCCCCGCGATGTGCCGCACCAGTGACACCATCTCCGAGGGACCCAAAACGTGGATCTGAAAGTTTCCCAAAAAAAATTCATCGTTAGGTCCATAATTCCGTGCTACCATTTGGACCGCGTTAAACAGAAAGGAACCAAGCCACATCAGCTATTGCCAAATTTAATTCGGCAATTAAATTTTTTACATGAAAACGGTTCTGCGGATTTTCGTGCAAATTGCAGTGAAAATTCTCCATAGTTTGAAGCAAATTCCTTAAAAATTTCAAAGGAATCCGCACAAACGTTCTCTCGTAAAAAATTGTATTGCCCAGTTAAATGTGGCAATGGCTGATGTGGCTTGGTTCCTTTCTGTTAAACTCGGTCCATTTATAAAAAGAAAGATATCGTAAGAGATGATGTATTTCATAATTTTCATCGAAGGCCAAAGTGCGAAACCGCGGATCTCCCTTTGCGACGTTGCAGATTTCTTGTCGTTTTTGATTTTCCTTCGGAATATAGTCAACGTACATTGTGGTCATGGAAGAAAAGAAAAGAAAGAAAAAAATTGCGACAAAAATATTTGCAAAAACGGTTTGCAAGGGGTGAGTCTATGGCACACGTGAATTTAAAATCGCGAAAAATCAAAATCTTGGCTGATCCTACTTTCGAGATATCCCACTTGGAAATTTAAATAGTAAATGCAAGTTTTCTACTGATTTTGATCCGCTTTTTTATTTATTCGTTCATTGAATCGATGTTGATCGGTTCACGTTTTTATTTTTCGTTTGATTCATGTCGATCGAATACATTCTCGTTACATGCAGACTACCCATCATACTTTTTTTCAACTGAACAATTCGCCTTCTACTACGTCTACAGCAATTGTTGTTACGAATATGTTGTGCGTGCTGATTTCAGTTAATTACATACTCGACTCTCTGAAGGCGTTTTATGTGCGAAAGTAGAGCACCCTGTCGGAGAACAAACGAAGTAGGGATTGAGCGATTTATCCAATCTCACCTCTGTGGTTCTCCAACAGGGTGCTCTACTTTCGCACATAAAACGCCTTCAGAGAGTCGAGTATGTAATGAGTTAAAATCAGCACGCACAGCATATTCGTAACAACAATAGCTGCGGACACAGCTGAAGGCGAATTGAAAACAAACGTATAATACACGTTGAAATACATGTTAGCTCTTTAATGAATATTATTACCAATAGAGAGTCGTATTTCGTGGTCTTTTTATAGGGGATTCTCGAAAAACTTTTCCACTTAAACTAAGTTTAAATGCAAAATAAAATATACTAGGTAATAAAAGGTATATTTTAACTGATGATTTTATATAATAATAACTATAAAAGGTATATTTCCCGGTGCTCACGTGAAAATAGAGGTACGCTACGTCAGAGGAACGACGAATTAGCTATACAGGAATTAGGCTTACCTTGTAGAGGATGGAAACACCGGTGTAGAGGAGAATGGATTGGAATCCGTTGACGAACAACTGAAACGAGAAGAGGACGCTGAACCACTTGTTGGTGTTCCAGAAAACGGCCGGGTATCTCACCGCGTAGACGAACAGAGCGATTGCGTAGCTTAAAAACTCGGCTGAGAGCGTTCCCCAGATCCCCGTCTCTGTGCAAATCAAAATTACATCGTTTAAGGCCGTCGGTAAATGAGTTTTGCGAAAATAAAATCAAGAATCAAGTTCCTTCGTGATGATGGAGAAACTATCTATAATCGCTATCTATCTAATTGGAATTTTTACTTGTCGTCTTTTCATAAAGGTACATTTTACCCGAACCAGCCCAAAACTTATAATTTTGGTGAAAGAGGGTGGTCGGTGCATGGAAAAAAATTAAATTGCTGATTCAACAATTCAATTGCTAAAAACAGTGAGTGCAATGTTTCAATGTAGATTTTAAAACAAAAAATGCTACTTTAACCACCCCCGTGGTTAAATTAGTTTTCGATGTGGTTAGAGTAGCATTTTTTGGTGGTAAAATTTACGTTGAAACATTGCACTCACTGTTTTTAGCAATTAAATTGTTGAATCAGCAATTTATTTTTTTCCGTGTGCTTTCTGATGCAACCTGTCAATTAAATCAAAGAAAAATATCAATTCGTAAGGTTAAAGACAGAAGTCAATATCTTCAACCAAAGTAGTCTGTCAAAATAATCGATTAGCAGCTTGAAAATTAATCGCAGAATCCACAGTGGTCTTGACGCAAAAAAAAATGTGACAAAAATTAGTCGAAAACCGGTTTGCAAGGGTTGCGTCTATGGTACGTGTCGACTTAAAATCGCGAAAAATCAAAATCTTTGCAGAACCTAATTTTGACAGATCCCAATTTGAAATTTTCACGGTAAAAACAAGTTTTCTACTGGTCCGTTTTTTTTACTTATTCGTCCATTGAATCGGTTTTGATCGGTTCACGTTTTCATTTTCCGTTCGATTCATGTCGATCAAATACATACCCGCTCGTTACACGCAGACTACCTATCATACTCTTTTTTTGTAACAGAAAGATTCGCCTTCCGCTGCGTCTGTGGCAATTGTTGTTTTGAATACGTTGTGCGTGCTGATTTCAGTTCATTACATACTTGACTCTCTGAAGGCGTTTTATGTGCGAAAGTAGAGCACCCTGTTGGAGAACAAGAGAGGTGAGATTGAATAAATCGCTCAATTCCTACTTCGTTTGTTACCCGACAGGGTGCTCTACTTTCGCACATAAACCGCCTTCAGAGATTCGAGTATGTAATTAACTGAAATCAGCACGCACAACGCATTCGTAACAACAATTGCCACAGACGCAGCTGAAGGCGAATTGTTCAGTTACAAAAAAAGAAAATGATAGGTAGTCTGCGTGTAACGAGAGGGTATGTATTCGATCGACATGAATCGAACGAAAAATGGAAACGTAAACCGATCAAAACCGATTCAATGGGCAAATAAGTAAAAAAAAAACGGATCAGTAGAAAACTTGCATTCACTGTGAAAATTTCAAATTGGGGAGGATCAGCAAAGACTTTGATTTTTCGCGATTTTAAGTCCACACGTACCATAGACGCACCCCTTGCAAACCGGTTTTGGGTATATTTTTTCTCGCATTTTTTTGCTTCAAGACCACGGTGCATCGTCATTGCCCTTAGTACTAACAGAATCAGAAAATCTGATCGTCTATGGGAAAAATGGCTTTATTAAGTGCACCAAAAAACTCCAAATTTAGATATTTACACTACTGCATGGAGGAATGTTTTGCAAAAAGTTTGGCTTAAAATAAACCAAAAACGTCGACCCAAATAAGAGTTATGAGGTTTGAAAGTTGCAGTTTAAAAACATAGTTTAAAAGTAAAAGCTGTTTAAAGTTCAAATTTGCCCTGTTCACGTCTTAAAATTTTTTGATGAAAATGCAACTCTTCTATTTCTGTTGGGTGATAAGTGATCTGCACTACTTGCAGCTTATTCCTCGGGTTTCTGTTTTGAATGTTTCCTTCGAAAAATAAAATCTTGTTGAAACCAATCACTTTTTGTTTACTGAAGTCACTTCTCGCTTGGGCGGTCACAAATAGGAGGAGATCCCTATAAAAATAAAATAGAAATAAGGATGACTTTATCTGACACCGCTATATCCAAGCAGCAATTCATCATTCTCCTATAACTCGTGAAAATATTTGGTGGTGCTGAGAGCAACCATTTGACACGAAACCAAAATGAGCAATGCCTCATGGATCATGGTGTCACTCATATCTGCCGATGGGCTTTAATTCGAGAGTGAGAGATGACTTATGACTCACCATTTATTTGCTGATCGATCCCTAATGACACGGCAAGTCTCCGTGGCGCTGAGACCGTTGTCGGAATGGCCGTTGATAGAAATGATGAATTTACTACTGGCGACGCGGTCATAAAACTCAACATCACCATTCGGTCTCTATGAGACCACAGTATATCTAAGTCAGTCTTCCATATGTTTTCTGAAACAAAAACGTTAAACAATGTTTAGTGAAACGATCATAACATACATGCAGTAGTACGATGTACCACAAGAACCGATAAAGGATAACTGAGGCATTAAAACAGTTAAATGGGAATCCAAACGAGTGTGAATACGAGTGAGAAACTCAGTGTCCCTTCATCTCCGTGGTTATGCAATTTGGCCTACTCAGAAGTTAAAATAGTTGTATCATGTAATCTAATCACTGCGCGCGCAGTGTTTGACGCGGAATAGAAGAGGAAAGGCGAGAAGACGTATACATAGGTATATCCTTTTCGGAGATGACATCGGCTGACATTGCAACAAGTTTAGTACATTCTTTACATATGCATGCTGTGTAATTACATACCGCGTGAGGGATACGGCAATTGAAGTTTCCGAAAAATTTCAAACAAAGAATTCTTGAACTTTCCTGACTATTTCTGGTTTCTCAGGTTATGAAATTCATTTTTATGGGTCTGCGTTTGAGTTCTGATGGGATTACATTTTGGAATGAGGCACTTCTTGTATTGCCGCACTGCTAACATTGTATACCTAACATCTTTTTTCTTGTATGTCAGAAAACTCTAAATCTTAAATCATTTCTGATTAAACCTACAAATTTTTTGATTACATGAGGCAGTCGCCATGTACATTTCATTTATTGATACGATTTTAGTTATACTTTGGTGTAAAATTAGAATTTGCGCTACCTTGGGAAATATTGAAATACTACAGTAGTTTCTTATTGCAAGGAGGCATTTCTGCTGAAATATTGAAATACTACAGTAGTTTATTATTGCAAGGAGGCATTTTTGCTGAAAGGAACTATAAGCAAATGAATTAAATCAAAATAAATTTTGAAGAACTTTTTCGGCTCTTCTTTTTTTATTTAGTTCATTTCTACATCGTCCTCTTCAGCTTAAATGTCAAAATGTCGCCCATTCATCGAGTGACCCTAGAAAGTGCTAAGAACGAAATACAAAATGTTTGATCGTATGAGCCGAGGATTTGGCGTCACATGTCGATCGAACTATTCGGTTTGTCAAATCGAACTATCGCATCGTCAAATCGAAAGTTCGGTTCGTAAGATTGGACTTTTAGATTGAACTGAACTGAACATAGAATTCCGATCACACTATTTGAACGATCGCACCTACAACTGAAATGTCGCTTTGACTGATGAAATAGTTCGATCGATATGGAACACCAAACTTTCGGCTCATACAATCGAACTTTTTCTTTCAGAGTAGAACCACCTTCAACTATAAATTCGTCTAGTTTCATCATTGCTTTATTTCACACCATTGAAACACCCCGAAGTTCGATCCCTTTGTTATCGCGTAAATATCCAAGGAATTTAATCAAGCGTCAGGGGCAACCGAAAAAGAAAAGAAATGCGGCCAAAGCACCTAAGAAAAAGCGCCCAATTGGCGAGAAGAAAAGTATAACCTCATTAGAGGCGGAAACAAAGAGATCTGAACTTTGCTACTGGTCTCACTCCCGGACGTGACGTAGAAGCTGCCACTTTTTTTTGACAAAAAGACGTAACCGATTTCCAAATAGACCTTGGAAAACACCCAGTTATATGGACAACAGGGATCATCTTACGGTGAAGTTATGCCCTTAAATTAGGGGAGGGACAACTTGTGAGGGGTCGCAGCTGAGCCTGCATGCCCGAAGACAAAGACGGGACTCTCCCCCCATCGATGACTCATCCTTTCACAAATGGGCGTATTTCTGCCGAACAGAACTATGTGCACTGAGACATGAGCCATGAGACCCGTAAGAATGTATGCAGAACAGGGCTCACGTCATAATGCACATAGTTCCGTTTGGCAGAAATGCGTCCAAATCAAAAGCATCGCCTCTTGAGCTTGAGCACTTTCGCCAGGGCACTCCTGCCGTTCTCACAAAAGAACGTCGTATGAGCCTCCCGGCGTTGGCAAATTTCCCCCATCAAAATACAAAATTCCTTGACTTTTTATAAATTGTTTTCCTCCAATTTTTCAGAGAATTTAACAGACAATTAAATCTAACATACCTGAAAATCTCAAGAAAAATCGTTCATAACTTTTCTGGAGAATTATTATTTTATCAGATGAAATTTGGCAACATTGGAAAGTTCATACGGTGTTCTTCCGTAGTATGGTGCTTTCGCCGGGGCATCTTGTGATTGCGGTGGTCGGTGGAAGTCGTTACGCCCTCGGCCTCACACTGAGTAGGCAACAAAATTTATACTCTCTTTGAAAACATTTTTTTATCGCGTAACAACACTACTTCACGCCGCACGGCAATCATCTTTATGACAGATGGATGCCATGAAACTGTAAGGATCTATCCATATTAGGAGCTTCGAAAAAAAGAAGGAAAAAAACATACATGCGATTTTGAACATAGTTGCAATTGGATGACTTTAACTAGAATCTGCCTTACTATACCCGACGTTGCCTATTTTCTCATGTGTTTTATTTTCATAACCTAAAATTGGACCGCGTCAAGCAGAAAGGAACCAAGCCACATCAGGGATTGCAATATTTAATTGGGCAATTTATTTACACGAGAACGGTTGTGCGGATTTCTGTGCAAATTTGGGTGAATTTTCTAATTATCACGTAGCAAATTCCTTGAAATTTTCAAAGGAATCCGCACAAACGTTCTCTAGTAAAAAATCAAATTATCCAGTTGAATTTGACAATAGCTGATGTGCCTTGGTTCCTTTTTGCTGAACGCGGTTCCATTAAGCAACGTTCTGACTCGAAATTCTGTGAGTATATTATTATTTTTTTTTATTTTTGGAGAAAAATTCATGAGAAATTTGAAGGCATCGACCACTCATGTGCCTTGTGAAAAAAAAGTGCAAGAAAATCAGGCAACGTGAAATACAGACAGGGTGATTTTGGTTCAAAGAGTCCAAATATAAAGTTATAAATCGGAAGCTCAATTCTATCAATTTCTTGCTTGTTTTAAAAACCAAAAAATGATGAAATTGCATCTTTTTTTCGTAGGATGACACAGAATTTTTATTCACTCGGAAGGGAGGCGAGAAAGTAAAAATGTGAGTATGAAAACATAAAATTTACAAAATGATGCTACAACTTTATGGGTCATGCTTATCCTTAGTCGTAGCAAACAAATTGGAAACTTAATATCAGACTAGAACCTTATACAATCCTCTGTAAAAAGGCTAAAAGGTCCGCTTCAGAGAAAATTGGGAGGGTGCGAGCAGTCTAATCCTCATCTCGAATTCCCTCAGTTTTATCAAGAACTAATTTCAATTTTGTGAACATTTTCCGCTCGTAGAAGCACCAAATTATTCATTTGAACTGAGTGTTCACAACCTGTTTTCTACGTCTAGCTCTGTAAGATTTCAGTTTAATAAACGAGTGCTGAGAAATAAGTTCTGCTCTCATCTGGTGCACTCCTTTGCTGAGGCGCATAACGAGAACGAAACGTAAGGATTTCCGTTTCTGTAAGCGTTGTCTGGCACTTATTGCACTAACGATCGGACAGGAATGTGCAACGGCAAGCAACTTTCTGACACACTTTGTTGAAAAGTGCACGGATGGAATTAAAATTTCCCGGCTCGCTGGGCCTAGGTCGAACAAGGCATTCCTTCTGCCGTGATGGCGAAGAGAGCAGTAAGTGCATGCTGGGATGAACCTCGAGACCCATAAAAGCATGTGCTAACCATGGCTCATACGAAAATGTACTTACTGCTCTCTTCGCTATTACGGCAGCCTTTGCATCTTGTATCTTGCTCTTGCGAGGTTGTCAACTAGACGGCTTTAACTAATATTTATAGCGATAGTGGAACTGCAGAAATGCGTATCTTGGTTTGTGTCGTTGCACACTTCCTCACTGAAAAAAAATTCTCGGCGTTTTTACCAGGTCCGTTGGTACCTTTACCATCTCTTTATTTACCAACTATTGGTAATTATACCAAGACAGACTGGTAAGCTTACCTAAAAACCGGTATTTTTACTGCTTTTTTTTTTCAGGTAAGATTACCACTTTTATTGGTAATCAATTCCCGGTAACTTTGCCATTTTATCTCGGAAATTTTACTACAGTCGATAAAAAATATTGGCATTTTTACCAAGGTGCAGTAAAATTACCAAGAAAGTTCATTAATTTTACCGAGATTCTCGGTAAAATTCCATAAATGGTAATTTTACCAAGAAAAAACTGGGATCAAATAGAACCCTGAATTCTTCGTAATTTTACCCTTTTTTTTAGTAAATACACCGAGATTTTTTTCAGTTTGTGGCGTTGCAGACTTCCTGTCTTACGTAATTTTCTACTATACATGGATAACTATCAAACGTCATTTTTTAAAAACTTTAGTGACTTTTATTCCTCGGCGTGATGAATAAAATGCGAACATTTTAAGCCATAATGTTGGTTGGGTCTCCTTTTAAAAATAAAGATGAGCAGAGATTTTGAAACGCTGCAACCGGAAAACGCATTCTGAGCGTTTCCTAGTTTCAAAATGTTCCGAGACCAATTCCGTACTGATGACCAAAGCCCAAAACCACGTATCTTCGTTTGTGACGTTGCAAACTTCCTGCCATGCTTTATTTCATGTTTGGAAAACTAGACAGCATAATTTCTTGAAAACTTCCCTAATTTTTCTTCTCTGTTAGCAGAATATTCTGTATAAATTTCAAGCAACATATTCGGCTTGTTTCTCTTCGAAAAAATAAAAGTAGAGCGGAAATTTTGAAACGTCGCGATTGAGATAGGCGGTTTCGCACTTTGGCCGTCGTTATGCTTTGGTATCAATACCTCAATTTTTAGTTTTTATGGAATAGGGTATTTTTCTCATTGGAAATAAACTTTTAGAAAGATACAGCTAGACCACGGTGTCACGGCAAAACCACGCAATACGCGGCTCAATTCATGTCTTTTTTTCGTGACCGGATACAGGTTCTTGGTGTATTTTCTCCCCCTTTTCCAAATTTTCTTTAAGATTTTTTTTTTTTTTTGTGAACTTACAAT